TTTGTAAGTACATACGACAATTTGACCGAATTATTTTTATCATTAATTGCAGATTTGCGTCGCTATGCATTCGTTTTGCAATTAGCTATATTCGTAATTTGGAACAACATTTTATTATAAGTATAATAAAGTACAAGAACTTTTTTTGAATTATTGCAAAGTTAGAGTTTTCTGTCAATCACCAGCAGGAGATATTGTACAAAATTCATTTGCTTGGGTAGCTCTGTCGCATTCGTGTTGCTACCGTGAAGCAGTTGTGTTTGCATGGCTGTGTTTCGGTTTGAAGGGTGGGATATGGCGTGAATTTACTGGGTACGGAGGAATAACATCTTAGTCCTCAGGAATGGCAACGCATGGAGGGTATCATAGGCGAAACAGTATACTCTGTTATGTCCGTGGTACTGCTCGTGTCTATAGGCGACGGTTATCACTTTCCATCAGGTGGGCCGTCAGCTTGTTTGCCATTCTAAGTTGCTTTAAAAATAAAACACTTATATACATAAATATGTTTCGATAGATGTGTTGCTAAATGCAAAACTTGATAATGACTGCATCAATTTGTACTTAATATTTTTTTTTCAAATATTCATTGATGTCCCAGTCCAAAGAAGGTTCTCATGAAGAGAAAAATTGAAAAATGCTCGAAAAAATGTTAAAATCTTATTTTTACATGGCAACTACTCGTGAAATACCCCAATATAGAGAGACCTGTATTTTTTTTTGATAGATGAAAATGGTATGGCAGCCCCGCCTGCGCTAACGGGATACGCTGGCGGAGCACCAGTGAAGGGTGATAGATAAGAATGAAAACAGGCCAGTTAGCCCATCATGATGAATTCATCAGGAATTAACCATGATAGTTTCCAGGGGGAACAGCGAGGAGGTCGACCTGGTTGGGTATATTGCTAGCAATAGGATTCTCAGCCTCCATTACTAACAATCCCTTTCCCCCCAGATACCTGTGTTTAGCATGGGACAATTAAGGGTTTGTGAGTTCGTATATGATTTTACTTTACCGCTAATAATACAAATACTGAGGGGTTGGGGGGAAAGGGATTGTTAGTAATGGAGACTGAGAATCCCATTGTTAGCAATATACCCAACCAGGTAGACTTCCACGTGGTTCCCCCTGGAAACCATCGTGGTTGATTCTAGTCGAATTCGTCAGGATGGGCTAACTGACCTGCTTTCATCTTCATCAGTCATCTATCACTGGTGCCCCGCCAGCGTATACCGTTAGCGCAGGCGGGGTTACTATTTCATTATCACCAAATTAAAAAAAAAATACTGAGGGTTAAAGACCTAGCTTAATACAAGTCGTAATGATATTAATTTTGCAATAATCCGCAGATGAAACTGTACTTGTAGTGACACGGTCGTCCATTGTTTTCTCAGTGAGAACTTTTCTTGTATTACCTTTTTGTTTTTACCGAGTTTTCTATAGTCTATTTCAATAGAAGACGTAAATGTAAATAAATCGAGGATGGATGAATATTATTCATCGTTACCATATCAGCCTTTAACTGTCCACTGCTGGACATAAGCCGTTTTGCCAGTAATTGCCACGTTTGGTAGGCGGAATGACTTTTGATTCTTGTAAAGTAAATATTAATTGGATATAGAAGGATATAAAGATACTTGTCGAATGACTTGAAAAAGAAAAGTGTTCTCGAATCGATTGTATTTCTTTATGTTTGTTACCTCCTAATACCTTTTTTTTTTTTAACTAGGGTGAAAATCTTCAGAGAACCATCCGCCGGCGGGACGACGAATGGGTACTGTAGGATTTTTACCCACTGAAAACACCCCGGTATTCCTCTTGGCGCCTACCCGCCGGTGATTGAGGCTCGCGACTAGCAGTTTTCCCAACACCTAAACCAACTTAAAAAAAAAAACATTTATCTAAATGGATATACTTAGAAATAGGATCTAATGAAATTTTATCAAAATCGTATCAGTAATTTAGTTTTTAAATTAAAATTAAGTAAAATTAATTAAGTAATTAAATTAAACTGGCCATGCTACAACTGAAATCTGTTATTTTTTATAGCACGTAATCTTTAATTATCTCGGTGTATCAATATATTACAGTTGTGTGGACGAAGTCGCGGATAAAAATTATATTATTATAATTAAATTATAAAAAAAAAATATTATTATTATATTTTAAAAGATAAATAGACAGATAAATACTCTTTATTGTTTCTTCTATAAGGTTACAATAATAAACTTATTATAAATACAAACAATTACAAGAAAATATTACACTGAGAAAACAATGGGTGACTTTATCGCTAAGAGCAATCTCTTGCAGGCAATCTTTGGATGCAGAGAAGTAATTATAAACAGTTTGACTGGAGACACGAAACTCTGTTTGTTTTTTAAATACAAATAGAGATATGCATACGTACAATAATATAAATATATAAATGCACATTTTAAGTTATTAATACATACATTAAATAAATACATATAAAGAATGAATGTATGGATATGGAATGAGCTCCCTGCCGAGGTTTTCCCAAGAGGCTACAGCATGGGGTTCTTCAAATGGGGGTAAAGAGATTTCTTCAGGGTTGGCAACGCGCGTAACACACCTGAAATTGCAGGCGTTTATAGGCTACGGTAACCGTTTACCATTAGGTGGGTCGTATGCTTGTTTGCCACCTTAGTGATATAAAACAAAAAATAGAAACGTATATACATAAAATATAAAGGATTGTGATGTGCGTATTACATAACCCTCCTTTGGCTGTCGGTCTATGATAATTACCCAAATAATTACGTACGTACTAATTGCGTTTTTACAAAACACCGGCACGAAAGTGAGACGCGAACGGATTACGTGACTAATGCAGTTTGCAGCTAACTAGCTTCTGAACTCATATATTTATTTATTAAGACACACCAATAGTACATATGTGGGGGGAAAGAGATTGTTAGTAATGGGGTCAAATAGCCCCATTACTAGCAATATACCCTGTCAGGTACGCGGTTCCTCCTGGAAACCATCGTGGCTAATTCTAGTTAAATTCGTCAGGGTGGGCTAACTGATCTGCTTTCATCCTCATCAATCACTTCTATACCTATATATATATATATATATATATGAACGAAACACAAAATTGATATTTAAATTACATAATACATACCGTTTGAAAATATTTAAATATTTAAAATATCATTCCTTTGAACTATTATGGTTGGATTTATGAAAAACGAGATATTAAATTCTATTTACTGAGCCGGTTTTAATACGAAGGAAAACACGAAATTGAGTCTGTAAATTCGAATTTTCATTTAATGGTAGATGCCATGGCAGATGTTGTTATGGCGATTTAACTCACTGCCTCATCTAACAATAGTTGCAGATTTTGTTTGTACACGTAGGTCTGTTTTATGTATTGAATATTGTTAACATATAAGAAACCCAATATTCTTTCTTCTTAAAATTTTAACATAAGAAACTCAATTTCTTATTTCAAAATTTAATACGAAATACAAGATCGAAAATCAATATCACAGCCTCATTATAAATTACTGAATAACCATTTTATTATTAAGGATTAAATAAATTTACCAACAAAATTTTACGGTATTATAAATAATATTATTTATTTAAAACATTCATTTAGTAAATAAAAAAAATTAAATTTAAAATAATTTAAAATTAATTATGTAAATGTAATTTAATTTAACTAATTAAAAAAATCTTAACATTATTAATAAATGGTATGTTTATTTAATGGAATTAATTAAAAGCTCTACATAAAGAAATTTTCAACTGGCGTAGTCAATAAAACATCTCATTAATAGAAACAAACTCAAGATAACACGTTCAATTTGATAACACGCGATTTGAAAATACCTGTGTATGTTAAAATTCTTGAATACTTTGTTATTAATAAAAACACACTTTAATTGTCTATGATTATCGAAAATTAAAGATTAACCTGTTGAATTTATTAATATTAATTTAATAAATTAAATTAGTAATTTCATTATTAATTAAGTTTAAATTAGTTAATTAAATGTATAACATCCTCAGGTAAAATAACCAGAGAGCAAAATAAATCTAATCCCTACGAAAAAAGAGGTAAGAATTACTTATTATCAATAATATCTACTTTAATTATGTTAAAGTAAATTATTTGAACTCTAAATTATGGTAAATACCTCTGACAGAATCAATTAATGTAAAAATTTTATTTAAAAAATGTAAATATATAAAACATTTAATATGTATTTAGTACAATATGTAAAGTAGTTTAAGAATGTATGACCTATATAAAATATTTTTCATGAGAGACTTCCTGTGAAGATAGGTAACGTGTATTCGTTATGAAATATAATAAAAAATTTGAAAGTAAATACTTAAGTACTAAGGAATGTTGGAAAAATAATTAAGTATGATAATTGTTAAGTAAACTTTATAAATTAAACCAATTCGTCTTAAAAAAAGATCTGCCAAAATCTTACGAAAATGCAGTTATGTCGCTAATTAGTTGCACTTTCGAAAAGTTTTTAATAATATTTTATGCTATGCAACTTACAAAAATAATTAAATATTAATTAAAATTTGCATTTAAGCAGGTTCAAAAATAATAATTTTGTAAAACAAGCCACATACATTCGAAATATAAACGAAACAACTTCATAAAAAAAAAAAGTAAAACAGAATAACCATTGACAATAAAATAACGCCATTCGAAATTTAAAAAAGATAATTGAAACAAAATGGAGACACGCCATTATTTAATAATGTATCGGTAATGTTTTCGGACGATTGTCAGCGCACAGCCTCCGTATCTCACAAGATCACTTTCCAGTGCCCCACTGCCCCAGATCCCCACCATGCAAGTGAAAGCAAAATTAGCAAAAACCCATAATGACATAATACCTGCCAATCGGGCATAACTTAATCTATTCGTAATATAATCAAATAGCAAAGAGATCGATGTAATAATTAAAACTTAAAAAATCTTTAATTAACTACTTACCCCAATTTGTGGGCACTGTATTTTTTAAACACAACACAATCACAACACAGTCTCACTTTTCTTAAAAAAAAAAAAAACAATTAAAAGCACAACACTAATGTCACTGTCAAAATTCCCGCTAAAATTTAGGGGTGAATATTTTTCATAGACACCACAGATAATTTTTTTATATGAAAAAAAAAAACTATATATTTAGTAGCTAAAGAATTAAAATAAAATGCTTTTAAGATTTATTTCACGACAAAGTTTTTTTCAGTCCTCACCGCTAGCCGCAGGCGCATGCAACTTTTTCTATAGAACGCGCAATGTTAAGAACGCGTTATGCCAAACCGGGCTCGGCCGCCCGACTGCACTTTTCTTGCAGAATACTTGTAAGTCGTCGTCCATTCACTGATTCATTATAATTACAGAACGTCATAATATTAATTTATTGTCCGAGGAAATGTTTCAGAAGTTATTCCTTTGAAGGTACCTACATAATTAACTTGTACAGAGTAAGTTAACTACTTATATTTTTTCCTTAGATTATATAGATAGAGTAATGCTCTGTAGCCTAATAGCCTCAGAAACGGACAACTTTTTGTCAGCTTATTGTCAAATTAGTTGACTCGTTTTTATATCAGTGTTCTTTATATTTACGCATAAAATGTATCTTGACGTATTATTTAATAAATAAAATGAGTGTTTACTCATTAAAAAGACGCAGAAATTATATGACAAAATATATAATACTCATAACTATTTATCACGCTGTATGAAAAACTGTATGAAAAAGTTAACTCGTTTTTCTCGAAGCTTTTATAGAAAGGCTTATATATAGGCTTATATAGATAGAGTGTCACCATAGGGTGACACTCTATCTATATAATCTAAAATTTTTCTATTAGTACTAACAATTACTGGGTACAGAGGAATAACACCTGAGTCCTCAGGAATGGCAACGCATGAGGGGGGGTATCATGGGCGAAACAGTATACTCTGTTATGTCCATGGTACTGCTCATGTCTATAGGTGACGGTTACCACTTTCCATCAGGTGGGCCGTCAGCTTGTTTGCCATTCTAAGTTGTATAAAAAAAAAACAAATGGTAGCCAATATGAATAAAATCTAATGTTATTTTTCTATTTTTTAAATTATCTATTTTTTTTAATCCACCAATTTACAATTTCCATCAGATATTCAAAGGTTGACTGGAAGAGATCCATTTTATGGAATAAGTCCGCCATTGTACTCATTCTTATGAACTGTGTATCCTATTATTTAAGAGTTTACTATACAATATATAAACAAACGAAAATATATACGAAAATATAGTAATGAAAAAAATAATATTTTATAAACACAATACGTAATAACAATATGACTATTATAGTTTTCACTTTAATAATTAATTATTAAACTTTACTTATTAAATTTTAATTAATTGTAAATTAATTAAAATTAATTAATATACATATAACAAAGTGAAAATTATTTATATACCTTATACGATACAATTCTTGTTGTTTATCTGAAATGGCATTTTTTATATATGTATAATTTTTTATATGCATTTAGAAATGTCAAATAAACTAACGCTCTAACCGGCTTGTTTGCCATTCTAAGTTGTATAAAAAAAAGAAATCCTCTTTTCTCGTGGGTGTCGTGAGAGGCGACTAAGGGAACTTAATGGTCGAGGATTGGGCAGCAGCGTTCTTCCTGAAACATCATTAAACCCTAACTGTGGTTTCCAAGCTACCTGCCAAGCGTAGCAACTACTGACAAAACTTCCCCTTATAGGGAAGGCTTATGTTCACTAGTGGGCAATTAACGGCTGAAATAATAATAATAAGTAAAAAAAAAAAATAGGAATTTTGTAGTTTTTATTTTTAGACATAATACTTCAGGTTCCAAATATATATAGTAACGCAGGGGGGAAAGAGATTGTTAGTAATGGAGACTGAGAACCCTATTGCTAGCAATATACCCAACCGGGGGAAAAGGGATTGTTAGCAATGGAGTTCGACATTGCTAGCAATATGCCCTTTCAGGTCGACCTCCACGTGGTTCCCCCTGGAAACCATCGTGAACAATTCTTGTTGAATTCGTCACGATGGGCTAACTGACCTGCTTCATCCTAATCTATCATTCCTCACTGGTGCTCCGCCGGTTTATACCAATAGCGCAGGTGAGGTTACCATTCCATTATCACCCATTAAAAAAATATATATATACCCAACCAGGTCGACCTCCACGCGGTTCCCCTTGGATACCATCGTAACTAATCTATCGTTGAATTCGTCACGATGGTCTAACTGACCTGCCTATTTATCTTCACCAATCATCCCTCACTGGTGCCCCGCCAGTGTATACCGATTGCACAGGCGGGGTTATCATTCCATTTTTATCCATTAAAAAAAAATAGGAAACAATAGAGATGCGTGTCAATTTAGAATTTGGTAAATAATAATATAAAAACTATAAAAAATGTATTTGGCCTGTACTCCACAGATATCAAGAAGTCATAGAGTATTTATGTTTTATTCATTATATTACAAAAAAATGTTTGGTAAACAAAAGGATATGTTCTATAATCATCTATGATAAAATTACTCTATGGTACAGTCTGTGGCGGCCATGGTTTATGTACGCCCTGATTTTTACAAGACAGTTACAGCTAGATCAGGAGCCGTTAGCTTATTTTCGATTCTAAATTAAATTGGACAAAAAAAAAACTTAAATAAAATAAAATACAAATAATCTTTATTAAAATACGGTTGTTTACAAGTTCTCTTAAATCGTGACTATCGTGTTATTGGACCGATGGGTTTCAAAATAACAGCAATGACTTTTACATTTAAATTGATATACTAAGTTATTTTTATATTTGTATGGATATTGGAAAAAACATTTAATTATCTATTCTTTCAACATACTCTGATAACTCTTTGAAAGAAATAGGAAAGATTTTTACTCAGCAGTAGTATATAAGGGTTCAAAGCATTTTTTTTAATGGGTGAAAATGGTATGGTAACCCCGCCTGCGCTAACGGGATACTCTGGTGGAGCACCAAGGGTAGATAGTAGGGATAGATGAGAATGAAAACAGGCCAGTTAGCCCATCATGATGAATTCATCAGCAATTAACCATGATAGTTTCCAGGGGGAACCGCGACGAGGTCGACCTGGTTGGGTATATTGCTAGCAATGGGATTCTCAGTCTCCATTACTAACAATCCCTTTCCCCTCGGTTCAAAGCATTTGTAACTTTAAAAAATGACTATACAAAAACGCTTAAATCTAAGTTTACTCGAATAAGAATATTTCTTTCGTTCTTCTTTAGGTTACTGAAGCGTGACAACGTCACAATTATCTGACAATTGTCAAAAAGAATATAATAATTTTCATTTTTTTTTTTGTATTAGCCCTTAACTGTCTTTCGCTGAACATAGCCTCCCCCACAAAGAAGGAGTAGTTGCCACGCTTAGCAGGCGAATTAGCAACCGCAGTAAGCTTTGGTGATGTTTTAAGAGGGACGCTGCTTTAAAATAATAAGTCAGAAATATTTTACACTATTTGAAAATTAGGGCAGCAGTGTTCCTAATAAAACATCTCCAAAGCCTAACTGCGGTTACCAATCCGCCTGCCAAGCGTGGCAACTACCAGCCAAACCTCTCAAGGGGGAGGTTCGACAGTGGGTAGTTCAAGGCTCATATAATGGTTATGATTCACTCTACTAGATCACTCATATTTAAAAAAATATATATTAAAATGTAACTCTATGATTTAATAAAACATTTGGTCTTAAGAAAATGCTATGTCATATGAAATGATTGGATTGATTTAGTTTCCAAAAATCTCTCAAAATATTTTTTTTATACAACTTAGAATGGCAAACAAGCTGACAGCCTACCTGATGGAAAGTGGTAACCGTCGCCTATAGACATGAGCAGTACCATGGACATAACAGATATACTGTTTCGCCTACGATACCCCCCCATGCGTTGCCATCCCTAATGACTCAAGTGTTATTCCCCTGTACTCTGTAAATTCACTGTCATATCCCACCCTTTAAATTGAAACACAGCCATGCAAACACAACTGCTTCACGGTAGAAACACGAATGGAACAGAGGTGGCCAAGCAAACGACTTTTGTGCAAAGTCTCCCTCTGGTAGTATTTATTGATATTACGCTATGGCCTGTGAGTTCTATTATCTCATAGTCTGTCTCTGTAGGAGTTTTACTTTTGCTATCTGTGCTTCAAGTTAGTAAACATTATTATTTATGACGCTAAAAATATTCGTTGCAACTGACATTGTAATGTACTGGGATATCATAAAACACGAAAGACTAACATGAATCTATACATATAATAAAACTGTAGAAGTCGAATGTCTGTACATAGAAAAAAAAGTTAGAAACCGAGTCAAGAGGATCTTAGAAGCGAACTAGAACATATTCAGACATATTCATATTGTTTCTCTATTTGTCTGTTTGTACGGGTTAATCTCCGAAACCTTACATCCCCGGTCAATATTTTAGATAATTTTAATCACGAAAAACTGACGAGTTCCCGTGGGATATTGAAAAAACTATAGTAACTTATACAGTTTAGTACACAATCCACTTAAGTAAAGTCATTTTGACCAAAGGCAAAGAGAGAACGACACGTCATTTGTTAATTTTTTTATTTTTTAATGGGTGATAATGGAATGGTAACCTCACCCGCGCTATCGGTATACACCGGCGCGACACCAGTGAGGGATGATAGATGAGGATGAAGCAGGTCAGTTAGCCCATCGTGACGAATTCAACAAAAATTGTTCACGATGGTTTCCAGGGGGCAACCACATGGAGGTCGACCTGATAGCGCATATTGCTAGCTGTCGAACTCCATTGCTAAAAATCCCTTTCCCCCCTCATTTGTTAATTTTGATCCAGTATTCTCAGACATAATAAAAAGGTAGGTGCATACATCGATACATACTAAACACGAATAACAAATACCACGCGGACAAAGTCGCGGGCATCAACTAGTATATAATATATCTATTATGTTTTTATAACAGATATTAATTTAATGTTCCCTGTTTACTATACTGGTCTTGTTATTACGTTACCCGATTTATTTTGATAATTATTATTTCTTAATATAATATTGCCGTGTGGTCCCAGCATAGAATGGTCCATGCCCTTCTTTTCCGTGGGTCTCGTAAGAGGCGACTGAGGAAACTCGCTGCTGCCCATCCCTCGACTTTTAGTCGAGGAATGGGCAGCAGCGTTGCTCTTAAAACATTACCAACTCCTAACTGCGGTTACCAACCTGCCTACCAAGCGTGACAATTACTGGCAATTCCCCACTTTATGGGAGAATGTTTATGTTCAG